TTCCATTCTCCTTCCCTCCCTCCCTCCTTCCTCCCTTCCCTCCCTCCTCCTTCCTTCCTCTCCCTCTCTTTCCCTCCCTCCTGCCCCCTTCCTTCCTTTCGTGTAACAGCTCTGTTGAGGTCTAATTAACACACTGCACAGCTCACCCGTTTGAAGTGCACGGTGCAGTGGGTTTTCGCACATTCACAGATCTGTACACCCATCACTACAGACGATTTTAGAACATTTTCATCACCCCGTAAAGAAGTCCCGGACCTTTAGCTATCGCCCAGTCCTAGTTACCTAGAGCTGCTGTGACAAAAATACCACAAGGTTGGCTGTAAAGAACAGGAATGTATTATCTCACGGCTTTGAGGCTGGGAGTGAGAATTCAGGGTATCTGCACGGCCGTGCTCTCTGTGGGCTCTGGGGGAGATCCTGGTGTCTCCCAGCTCCTGTAGCTCCAGGCGCTCCTCGGCTGCCTGTGGAGGTACCTTCACCTGCTTCTGTCCTCCCTCCCACCCCCAGTGTGCGTGTCTCTCTGTTTTCCCTTTTATAAGAGACCACTCAGAAGGGATTAGGGTTAGGATGTGAGTCAGAACTGACTCAACGGCATCCAGCAACAACTACTCTGGTAAACCCATTGCCGTCAAGTCAGTTCTGACTCACGGCGACCCTACAGGACAGAGGAGAACTGCCCCGTAGCGTTTCCAAGGCTGTCATCTTTACTGAAGACTGCCACAGCTTTCTCCCACAAAGCAGCTGGTGGGTTCGAACCACTGACCTTTCGGTTAGCAGCCGAGTGCTTACCCACTGCCCCACCAGGGCTCCTTCCTTCTTACTCTGGTATGACCTCATTGACATAAAAAAAAGACCCTTCTTCCCAAACAAGGTCACATTCATAATTACAGGGGTTAGGACATCAACACGCCTTCAGGCAATACAGCTCAATGCCTAACACCCCTCTACTTCCCTGTCATCACTCCCACCCCCAAGTCCTGGCAGGCACTGATCTGCTCTCTGTCTCTGTGGGCTTCCTTCTTCTGAACATTTCATAGAAACGGGATCATACAGCTGTGGTCTCTGGAGACTGGCTTCTTTCACTTACCTGCTGGGTGCTCTTTGCTTGTCTGGCCTTTATGGAACAGCAGTAAGAGACCTGCATTCCAGCCTGGGGGGCATGTTTGCTTCATACCCGTGTTCCAG